GATGAACAGGCAACATATTCATTGAAATTTGAGATATGAAAAAGACTGCCAGAAATTATATAATAGAACTTACATTTACTGGAACTGCAGCTATCAATTTGCATCCCACGTTTTGAGGAGTAAGTGTAGTAGTACCCATGGGGTTTAAATTATAAATTTAGAAGGTCCTATAAAATGTAATATTAAAGAATACTAAAGAGCTAGCATGTATTTCTTTCGAAGAGCTGTTCTAATTTTCCAGTAATAATAATTTTTAAAAAGTTTCCTTTTAAAATAAACAAGCACAGAAATAACTCACAAACATTTGATGTCTTTGCTGCATAGGAAAATCATCCGTTCTTTGTTCTAAGTTTGATACCTGCCCATATGTGTTACAAAAAATAAGAAATCTGCTCATTTCAATTGCACACTTGTGCTTTAAAAAAATCATCTATTTAGATATTCTTAGTCTCTAAATTTATTTCCTTATCTTTTCAAGATAAGCAAAGATTAGGCAAGAGACATTAGGTTTTGTAATTTTGTTTCTAACATTAGTACTAGAAATGATTGAAGCAGTATCAAGCAGTATACTTTGCAATATTTCCCCCTTTTATGAGTTATGAAATTGAGATGACCTTCAAATGGTCTCTTTAACTCCTGGGAGGAATAAAACCTCTTCAGCATATAACAGCACGTTTTATATTTGTGATGACTGTATTATAATCAACTTAACAGGGTAGAACTCTTATTAATCTTAGATGCCAGATAAAGAGAACATTCATACCTATTTTCTGATGAAAAAAATATTCCATGATTAAAACTGTGATTAGACTGTTGGCACTTAGATCTAGTTGGTGGAGCTCGAGGGTGGAATTTTAATTTAAAACTGAAGTAGACTCATAGAGTAGAGTAGACTCGTAGAGTAGGGATGTGGTGGCTCAGTGGCTAAGATGCTTAGCTTGTCGATCAGAAGGTCGGCAGTTCAGCGGTTCAAATCCCTAGTGCCGCATAACGGAATGAGCTCTCGTTACTTGTCCCAGCTTCTGCCAACCTAGCAGTTTGAAAGCACATAAAAAATGCAAGTAGAAAATTAGGGACCACTTTGGTGGGAGGGTAACAGTGCTCCGTGTGCCTTCGGTGTTTAGTCATGCTGGCCACATGACCACAGAGACGTCTTCAGACAGTGCTGGTTCTTCAGCTTAGAAATGGAGATGAGCATCACCCACTAGAGCCGAAAAATGACTTAGCACACATATGCAGGGGAACCTTTACCTTAGACTTATAGAATTATAGGGCTGGAAGGAACCTTGGAGGTCTTCTATCAAAGCCCTGTCTAAGGTAGGAGACCTTATCCTCACCATCCTGGAGAAATGACTATCCAATCTTTTTTTAAAAAAAATTCCAGTGATGGAGCACCTACAATTCTAGGAGGGAAGCTGTTCCATTCATTAATTGTTCTTACTGTCAGGAAATTCCTCCTTAGTTCCAGGTTGGCTCTCCTTTTGATGAGCTTTCACTCATTGCTTCTTGTCTTGGCCTCAGTTGCTATGGAGAATAAATTAAGTATCCTCTTTCATGTGACAGCCCTTAAAGTATTGGAAGACAGCTATGTTATCACCCATAAGCTTTGTGTTTGTTAGCATTCATCATTTAACCAAGGGGTCGGCAACCCATTGCTCTGGAGCGGCATGTGGCTCAGAGGTGGGTTCTAAAAATTTTTACTACTGATTCTGTGGGCGTGGCTTATTTTGTGGGCATGGTTTGATGGTCATGTGACAATTCTTTAGGATTTAGCAGAGGTACTGGTCTACCAGGCTTTTAACTTCTTGCAGAGCTGTACCGGTCTACCCATTTGTTCTTGGAGCGTTCCGGTCTATCCATTTGTTTTTGGAGGCACCGGTTTACCCATTTGTTTTTCGAGTGCACTGGTCTACCACCACACTGCCTTTTAACACTGATCAGCTGTAGGGCAGCCCTTTGAAGCCCCACGGCAAGAGTTTAAACAGTTTTTTTCCTTCTAGCCGATCAGCTGGGACTCGGGAGGCAGTGAATAGATTGGGGTGGGGCCAAATAAAAGGTAAGAATAACACGGCGGGGCGGGAGAGCCCAGCTCCTGAACAAACAGAACTGGTTCAGTGACATCATATCGAACCCGGCCGAACCAGGAGGAACCCACCACTGATGTGGCTCTTTCATCCCTCTGCTGCGGCTCCCTGTTGCCAGTTGGCACCACAATTTTGAGAGGAGCTTCCGGTTAGGAGGGGGAAAAGCACGGTGCACCAGGAGGGAACTCTATGGCAAGGTACAGGTTTTCTGTTTGGCTCCGCAATTGATAGGACTTTCGGTTAGGACAGGTGAAGGGAAAAGGACACTGTGCTAGGAGGAGATACTATGGTGGGGGAAATGGACTTCAGGTCAGCTCCAGAATTGAATTGGGGGCTTCCAGTTAGGATCTTTGTGGCTCTTTGAGTGTTTAAGGTTGCTGATCCCTGATTTAACCTCTAGACCCTTAATTCCCTTAACCATTCATCATACGATTTAGCCTCCAGAGCCCTTATCATCTTTGTTGCTCTTCTCTGCACTCTTTCCAAGGCCTCAAGCATTTTTTAAAAATTTCCATTATGGTGATTTGAATTGAACGCAGTATTCCAAGTGTGATCTCACTAGTGCAGTATAAATTGGTACTATCACTTCCCTTGATCCTGATGCCATCTCTTTCGTGATGCAATCTAGGACTAAATTGCCTATTTGGCAGCTGCAGCACAGTGCTGACTCATACTTAAGTGATGATCTACTAGACGCCTAGTTCCTTCTCACTGGCACTACTGCTGAGCCAGGTTCTGCTTATTCTGTACCGTGCATTTGATTTTTCCTAAACTGTATTCCTGTGGTCATGTGGCCAGCATGATTATACATCGAGGCATATGGAACGCTCTTTATCTTCCAACCCAAGTGGTACCTATTGATCTACTCACATTTGCATTCTTTTAAACTGCTAGGTGACAGGAGCTGGAGCAAGTAACGGGAGCTCACCCAGTCATGCACCACTCAGTCATGAGCCCAGGGCATCTTTTGGAAACTTCAGAGTCAGCTTTCCAGCTGACAAGCTCAGCGTCTTTAACCACTGAGCCACCACACCCCATAAAAAGAGAAAACCAATATTTTTTAAAACAGTTATAATAACTCAATATATGAAAAAAATTACAGTTGATTATGTGACCGTGGGGGTGCCTCAATGGTTGTAAGTGTGAAAAATAGTCATAACTCACTTTTTTTCAGTGCCATTGTAACTTTGAATGATCACTAAATGAAGTATTGTAAGTTGACGATTACCTGCATTGGCCACATAGGTAGGTTGGAAGGACTCACAGGAACCCCTTGTTAAATTGGGGTAGGGGATGAACAGACCTCTTGTTAAAAACAGTTTGATACAGATCCAATCACAGTGACTTGGCTACATCTGTAGAGTTTGTAACAATACCTATTTGATCATATTTACACATTTCCCATCAGTTTACCACAGAGATTCTAATCACTGGGAAAGTTATCAGCATGTTTGATGGAACTTTTTTAGACTGAATCTGCAGATTTAGTGTTGTATGTGAAGATTCACACTGGTAACTATGGCCATAGAGCAAAGGTGCATGTTGTAATCCTCATTTCATTAGGCTTTTGACCTTTCCATTTCTCTCTCTCTCCATCTCTCCCTCCCTCTCCCACTCCCTCCCCCCCCTCTCTCTCTCTCTGTGTGTGTGTGTGTGTGTGTGTGTGTGTGTGTTTGTCTGTCTCTATCTCTCTATCTCTCTCTCTCTGCCTGTGGTCCGAGTTTTAATTGTTCTGTATCTTCTGAAGATACAAGAAGGCAACAGTCCAAAAAGATTGTAAGCAGGATGGGAAGAGTCTCTGAGAATGTTATGCAACTTTCTCAAACAGCGAGATTCGAAGATGTCATCCAGGGCTGGTAGCTGGAGTCCAATGATATTCTGGGCAGTTTTAATGATTGTCTGTAGAGCTTTTTTGTCTGCTACAGAGCTGCTCCCATACCATGCAAGAATGCCGTATGTCAGGAAATTCTCAATGGTGCTGCGATAGAAGGACAGAAGTAGATGCTGAGATAGATTTATCTTCCTGAGCATTCTCAGGAAGTACAGCCTCTTCTGTGCCTTCTTCACAAGCATGTTGGCATTCATAGTCCATGAGAGGTCCTCCGAGATATAAATATAAATGCCCAGAAATTTAAAACTACCCACCCTCTCCACCTCCTCACCATTTATGTACAATGGTAGATGTACATCTCTCTTCCTCTTGAAGTCAATTATAAGTTCTTTAGTTTTTGTGGTGTTAAGTGTGAGATTATTTTCATTACACCACAATGTCAGGCCTTGTACTTCCTTCCTGTAAGCAGACTCATTGTTCTTATTAATGAGCCCCACCACTGTTGTGTCATCTGCAAATTTAATAATTGCGTTGGTGTTATACAATAGGGTGCAGTCATGTGTGTACAAGGAATAAAGGAAAGGACTTAGCACACAATCCTGGGGGGCTCCTGTGCTTAGTATCAGAGTAGAGGAATGGTGAGATCCCATCCTTACTGACTGTGGCCTTCCTGTCAGAAAGATAGATTTTAGTAAGATAGGGAAGGCATAGAGGTCTCACTGCACCTAAATTAGATGCACCACTCCAGGATTCAGTTCTCCAAAACCCAGTTTTTCCAATCTTGCTTACAGTCTCCTATGCAAGTTAGGATTTTTAATCTGGAGACTGTCTTCCAAATCAACATATGTTGCCTACAACTCAACAGCTCAAAAGCATAGGCAGTATACTAACTTACACTAGCCTATGTTGAGTGTTTATAGAGGATTAAACCACATAGGAACAAACTTTATAAACTGGGTCATTTTTTGTAAAAAAAAAAAAAAGGAGGCATATGGGTCTCATTTGAGTTGGGGGGACATTTCAATGCATGAAAGTTTGGGATGCTTTAACTCTTTTGCTTCCCACCAATTTTCAATTATCTGCAGGCAAAATTCCGTGCTACGATTCGAAAGGAAACTGATAACTGCAAACTCATCAACATTACCATCATGATCATCACACCATCTTACAACATTACTTGGATAATTCCTGGATTCCTGGCTGGGACTCGAATTTCCAAAGAAGCCAGTCAGAGATATGATTAATTTGGTTTGTTCTTGCCCTGTATCACTCCTTGAAGAATAAAAACTGATCACAATCATGTAATCAAATAAAAATTAAAGAAACAGCAGCAGCAATTTGAGGACATGATAATATGAGTTGTTTAATCCTGGTTCAACATCAACATTTGTTTTGTTCCATCCTGTCTGCTATGGCATCTTTGTGGTGTTACAGGGGACATTCTGAATGAGAGCGGTACGCATTCAAATGCAGAATAACAGAGTTGGAATGCAACCATTCTTCTGTTCTTTGTATGTTTTATATTCCAGCCCCCTAAATCAACTTAGTTGCTCTTCTCTGTACTCTTTCTTAACATCTTTTTAATATTGTGTCTGCCAAAACTGGATGCAATATTCCAAGTGTGGTCTTACCAAAGCATAATAAAGTGGTATTAATACCTCATGTGATATTGATTCTAAATATAAAGGTATTAATACCTCATGTGATATTGATTCTAAATGTAAAGGTAAAGGTTCCCCTTGCACATATGTGCTAGTCATTCCTGACTCTAGGGGGTGGTGCTCATTGTCAAAGCGTAAATCAGCCTCATTCCCCCCCTGGGGAAACTGTAATTAATTAGAGGTGAATGGATCTTGTTTTCCATGCTGTATACTTCAAAGAAAGAAAACCCAAAATATATTCTAAGAAACATTTTATTATAAAAACAAACAAAACTAGATAACTACATCTTTACCAGACAAAAGGAAGACGTAAATCAGGAAGTTAGAAAAGAAAGAATGTAGACATGCGCAGTAGCTCAGAAATCACAAGACAGTCTTATCTCAGTTGCTACAGATAAGTTCTCTGGCAAGCTACCGTAAATCTTAGGATGGAAGCTCAGCTGGCAAACACTTAACGCAGTGACACTCATCTCCGTTTCAAAGCCGAAGAGCCAGCACTGTCTGAAGACGTCTCTGCGCTCATGTGGCCGGCATGACTAAATGCCAAAGGCGCACAGAACACTGTTATCTTTCTACCAAAGGTGGTCCCTATTTTTCTACTTGCATTTTTTATGTGCTTTCAAACTGCTAGATTGGCAGAAGCTGGGACAAGTAACGGGAGTTCACCCCGTTACGTGGCATTAGGGACTTGAACTGCTGAACTGCCAACCTTTTGATCAACAAGCTCAGTGTCTTAGCCACTGAGCCACTGCATCCATTTTGATCTTGATTCTATCCCTCTATTGACTGCAATGGTTTTTTTTTTTGTTGTTGTTGTTGTTTTTTGGCAATTCAGAGGTGGGGTTTTTTTTGGCAATTACAGTTATTCTTGAGACAGAAATCCTAAACAAGCAAAGTTCCTGCACAATCAAGATTCCCGATTCTAGAGAGGGCTGGAAATGAGCCCCATAGCAATTCCTCTTCATCTTTTCTTAGTTCAGGTCTGAATAGGGGCCTGCAAGATATGGTCAAAAAGTCTATATGATGGTTCAGTCAAAGTTTCCTCCTTTTTATGTGCTTCCTAGAGTTTACAAAAGGTCCACAATAGAAGTGGCTGGGCCATGTCAATATGAGTATCCCTATCTTGCCTTCACTTTTCTACTATGTGACCAAAACATACAGAGCCTTTTTCTTCAATACTATTGTTCTGACCGAAGTCAAGCTGGCAAGGCAGAGGTTAAAGAGGGTATGTTTATTGCTCACTTATCACAGTGACAAATGACCCACCAATGGTACCGGTGAAGCTCTGCCCCAGGCCTCAGTTTTCTCTTGATCTGGATTCACCAACTAAATACCAGCTGACCCACAAGGCAAGAGGAAAGTAACAATACCCACAAGTCCAGAGTTCCATCAACCAAAGTACAGTCCAAGAATGTGAACTCTGAGAGCCAAGTCCAAACTCCACAAGAGTCTAAAGTTCAGAGTCCAAAAACACCATCCAAAGTTCAAGAAACAGGATTCAGGAAAGCCAGGAAGATGCACATCAAAACAAGCAGGTGTTCCCAACAAACACATCTTCCCCCAGCGTCTAGTTAAATCTCCCTTCCCCAGTTGTCCCTTGGGAGACGAGTAGGGCTGCTTTCTTGCAAGCAACCTCACCGACCTCCTGTGTGCCTCTCTCTGCTCTGCTCTCCTTGTCCATGGATTGGGGGGGGGGGAGGGAGCTGTTCTTGTCAGAGGTGGTCTGGAGCAGGGGTAAAATTCAGAAGGTTCTGACAGGTTCTGGAGAACCAGTAGCAGAAATTTTGAGTAGTTCGGAGAACCGGCAAATACCACCTCTGGCTGGCCCCAGAGTGGGGTGGGAATGGAGATTTTGCAATATCCTTCCCCTGGAGTGGGGTGGAAATGGAGATTTTGCAATATCCTTCCCCTGCCATGCCCACCAAGCCACACCTACCAAGCCACACCACGCCCACCAAGCCACACCCACAGAACTGGTAGTACAAAAATTTGAATTTCACCATTGGTGTGGAGCCTATCATCTCTGCTGGCACTCTTCAGCTGCTCCACTCCTGCAGGCAGCTCTCCATCTGGTCAGTCCCCTCCCCCCACTGCCAGATAGCCCTGGGACTCATCCTCAGACCTGGACTCCCCACTTCAAAAAGGATCATGTCCTCCCCATTGGATGGTCCTGGTTCCAACTCCTCCTCCTCTGAACCAGGATCTGACAAAGCCATGACCTTCATGCACTTTCTACAGACATAGATGATATTTTATTTCCAGAACAACAAACGAGTATCGAAATGTCAAAGAAACTGGCAGTAGGCAGTGCCCTTCAGTTTGGATATATTTGTCAGCCATGCTATGGTTTCAAATATTTAAATCTTTGTAGGTTGAATGCATGAAGGATATGGTAGGATTGCTAGTACAGTACTGTTCTGATTTATCTTCCAGATTTGTGTTTTTTGTTTTAATGTTTTATTATTGCTTTTAAGTTCAATTAAAATTATAGCTTTTAAGTGCAATTAAAACCTTCAAAGTATTTTACAGGAAGCTGTATGTCATAAATAAATTAACTATAATGTCTAGATGCTGATGCTTTGTGGACAACGATTGCATTCGAAATCCTTTGGTGCAGATTCTAAAACCTTCCAAAATTGCTATGAAATTGCCCCTGAAAGAGAAGAGAAAACTGTGGAATACATTTTCATCTACATTTTCTCAGAGCTAATTCAATCAAGAAACAACGACGCAAACAAAGGCACAATCTTGCCTTCAGTTCGACTTGTTCGACTTGTTCCTTGATATGTTCATTTTCCATTTGCAGGAAATGCAGGGACAGAAAGCATTAAGAAATTGGAAAATGGTCTTGGCTTTGGGACTCTTCAATGTTTTATATCGATCACTTGGACAATGACACGGAGGGAATGCTTATAAAATGTAAACCACTCTAAACTCGATTGTAAAATAATCAATTTTTGTAACAAAATTGTCGAAGTCTGGAATATGTTACCCAATTCAGTTGTATCAACCATTAAGTCTCACCCTTTTAATTCTAACTTAACTTCTGTGAACCTCACTCCATATTGAAGAGGTCCCTAAGGAGTCATGCATAAGTGCTCTAATGTGCCTATTGTCCCTATTACATTTTAATTTTTTTTATTTTGCTTATTGGAATTTGTAATTTCAACAATAATAATCCCCCCCCCCCCAGATATATAGTCTTGGGAGTTACTGCTGATACCAGCAGAAAGAAACAAAATCCAAAATGAAAAGGAACTGGGAAAAAAATGCAGATTTCTTCATTGAGGAAATGAAAAAAAAAAGCTTGATGATGATTCAGCAATATTGGAGAAAGAGAGAGAGAGAGGGAGAGGGAGGGAGGAAGAGAGAGGGGGGGAGAGAATGAATATATATATGATGGGGGACATAACTGTATTTTTCAAGTTCCTTAATGGATATCATAGAAAAGGATGCCAAAAGCTGATCTTTAATATTGCAGACTGCAAGACATGGAATAATAATTTAATATTTAGAAATGCATCCTGAGAGTAAGACCAGTTTATTAGTACTCAGGAGCCTTGGGAGGTGTTGGGTTTTTGATTGCTAGAAAGGTTCAAATGAAGCTGGACTACTACCTATCAAAGATACCTTCCAACTTCTTATTTCTCTTTTACCATTTCTAAACTCTTGCCTTGTTTCCTAGTTACCTAATTCCAGCTGATCATAATTATGCACACACCCTGGTTTTCCTTATGAAATTAAAAGAGTTCTAAACACCTACATATGAACATGAGCAACTGAACCGGATGGGGACAATCCTTCAGTTTCTGTTTGTCTCTAGATTCATGCACTGTAGAGTGAATTGAGACCAATAAACATGTATATCTCATATTTCTGCTTATGCTTAGACCTACTTACCTTTCCATGGTGTCTATCTTGAGTTGCTTTTTGGACAGTGGTGTTGAGGAAGAAGGTTAAAAAAATGCCAATCTCTTCTGTTTCTCCTTTTCTGACTCCCCTTTGTAGTGATCATGATTTCTCTTCCACAGTTTCTGGAATAACATAATCTTTCATGGTGCTAACTAATGTAGCAGTAGCCATTGATAAAAATAGTGGCTACTGGCAGTGACAGAAACACATCAAGTAGATGCAAAGAAAGAAAAGCAACAAATATGAATAACAACATTATGGAATGTGTCCCATTAAGGTGCAAAGCTGGACACTAATGGCCCAAATATCAGGACGCCTGCTGAGCCAACCTTAATCTAATTGAAATTGTCCCCTATCCTTTTTGAATCAGTGTTGACTCCTGGAGACTTCCTGCAGTTTTCTGCCTGCAAGTTTCTGTAGTTCTCTTGGCAAGATTTCAGAAGTGATTTGCCCATTGCCTGCTTCCTAGGGCTGAGAGTAAATGACTCGTCCAAGGTCACTCAGCTGGCTTTATATATACTGTAAAGCAGGAGTAGAACTCCTGGTTTCTAGCCTGTTGTCTTAAATCACTACACCATACTAGTTCTTAATTTCAGCAAAAGCAAGGCTCAAAAGTAAGGGAAGGAAGGAGAATTAGGAAATCATGAGTGGTTAATGCAGATGTATCATAAACGTTAACTGCTGCCATGCCTTATTGCCACACCTTATTTTTGGGAGTGTGTGTGTGTGTGTGTGTGTGTGTGTGTGAGGGAGGGAGGGTTCTCTGATGACAGATCCCAAAAGCAGAGCCCATTCCTTACCTGAAGACCTGTGGACAGGAATTCCAATACCACTGGTTGCAGATGTTTCATTCCAGCAGCAGATGTCATATGCTGACAACACTGATTTGTGTCCAATCCTAACGCACCCTGGGCAACACATCTTTGAATAGTGGACCATGCTCCTAAATAGCTTGAAAGACAATTTAAACAATTCATGAAAAAACAAAACAAAACAACAGCCAGTGGCTACAACTCATATTGTTTTTGGCAATATGTTTCCTGGCATGTACAAATGATATAATAGTATATAATAATATAATAGTGCTATAATAGCGTGTGCCATGCATTCATGTTTCTTCAGATATTTTCCAAGGGTCAATGACAATTCGCCATGGCCAACTTGCCATGACCAACTCACTGCAGGACAGAGGTGGGTTGCAGCAGGTTCTGACCAGTTCTGGAGAACCGGTAGCAGAAATTTTTGAATAGTTCGGAGAACTGGTAGTAAAAATTCTGACTGGCCCTGCTCCCATCTATTCTCTGCCTCCCAAGTCCCAGTTGATTGGGAGGAAATGGGGATTTTGCAGTAACCTTCCCCTGGAGTGGGGTGGGAATGGAGATTTTACAGTATCCTTCCCCTGCCATGCCCACCAAGCCACGCCCACCAAGCCATGCCCACCAAGGCATGCCACGCCCACCAAGCTACACCCACAGAACCGGTAGTAAAAATTTTTGAACCCACCACTGCTGCAGGACAACTCACTGCGGGACAAGAGTTACACTAATATCAAAGAAATGGTGGAATAGAATCATTAAAGAAAGGCTGCCAAAGGAGAGACAGAATCAGGGGTGAAATCCAGCAGGTTCTGACAGGTTTTGGAGAACCGATAGCAGAAATTTTGAGTAGTTCGGAGAACCGGCAAATACCACCTCTGGCTGGTCCCAGAGTGGGGTGGAAATGGGGATTTTGCAGTATCCTTCCCCTGCCATGCCCACCAAGCCACACCTACAGAACCAGTAGTAAAAAAAATTGAATTTCACCACTGAACAGAATGAAATGTGAATGGCAAAAAATAAAATATTTTTTATTTATTTTAAATAATTAAATGGAATTGTTAAATTGCCCTGCAGCGAGTTATCCTGTGGCGAGTTGGCCATGCATGGCGAGTTGGCGTCCCATTCCAACTTTCTAAAGCATCATATACTTTTCCAAAGGACTCAGATACTTTTCCAAAGAGGGCAGGACAAGAAACAATGGATGGAAACTAACCAAGGAGAAAAGCAACCTGGAATTAAGGAGAAACTTCCTAACAGTGAGAATAATTAACCAGTGGAATGCCTTACCTTTAGAAGTTGTGGGTGCCTCATCACTGGAGGCTTTTAAGAAGAGACTGGACAGCCACTTGTCTGAAATGGTATAGGGTCCCTTGCTTGAGCAGAGGCTGGACTAGAGGACCTCCAAGATCCCTTGCAACAGTGGTTCACAAGAACCAATAGTAAAACCGACGGGAGGCCCCATCCACCGCCCCGGATATCGACATCGGCGATCTGCGCATGCGCAGAAGCTTCTCGATCCCGTTGCGAACCAGTAGTAAAGGTAAGTAAAACCCACCCCTGTCTTGCAGCTCTATTCTGAATTGAATTGAATTGAAACCACAACTCTATAAGTTAGGCCAGAGGCAAAAGGAATGGCCAGCCAAAAACGCAGGATGTAGAAAATGTTCTAGAAGGGAGGGAGGGAAATCTTATAGCTTAACTAAAATAGCTTTTTAAAGAAACTTGCTTCTTTTACAGTGAGTATGGAAATTAGCAGCTTTGTGCAGTAAAACTAAACAAAACACCCCATTCTAATGTTTTCCTGCACTTTGGGCAAAAGCCAGCATTTTCAGGAGGAAGAGAACTTGGCAATTAGCCTAAACACCAGTGGAGAGAGGCTGATATTGTGTCTCCTGGATTTATATTTTTAAATGCTACCTTATTAATTTCTATATAATTGTTGCAGCAACCATCGAGAAAATACCAATCAGTAAATGAACTAATAATTATCATGCTCAGGATAGAAAGAGAACTAATTGACTTAGCAGTATATTTCATGGGTATGTTGCTATAATTAATTAACTCTCTTTTTTCTTTGTAATGAGTGACTTGACAATGCAGAAGTCAAGTGCTTTAAGGAAAGGAAAAGAAAAGAAAGCCACATGAAGGGGAAATTTTATTTACATATCAAATGCTCTTTGTGAAATTCATGTTTTACAAGGAACATTAAGCTGCCAAAAGAAAAAGTTCAAAAAGAAGGAAAAAGGAGGAAAAACTGAGCACTAGGACAAATTAAAGAGTTAAGTGACTCATCCCTACATGGTGTTTTTATCTGTAGTGTTTTGATTTTTCAAAATATTTTTTTTCTGTAATAAAGGCTTTAAAGAATCTATTCTATACATGATTTAAAACTAAGCAGGAGAATCTACTATATACATGAAATGCTAAAATTATTCCAGCAAACAATTCTTCCATCTGCATGGATAATGTGTATGAAGTTGTTTTATACACAAAAAAAATGTAAATACTGTAAATAGTATGAATAGAGGGCTACCTATGGTTCTCCAATATCCTTTCTTTCATCTCCATAATTACCAGAGTAGATGGGGCTTCTTCCAGGGGCAGATGCTCGCACATGCAACACTTCTGCGCATGCACAGAAGCATCTGGCAGGTGGGCGGAGCCTCCCGCTGCGGTTACCTGTTCGCCCGATCTGGGGTGAACCGGTAGCAACCCACCACTGGCTTCTTCCTTTTTTGTACTCTTTGAGTTGAAGTTTGTGAGGTTAAGAAGCAAAATAGATATCTTGCAAGACTGAAGAACCCACTATATTTATTAATACACACACACACACACAAATTCCTTGATCTGCCTCCCCAAATCGATTTTGGTTTCTCCCGTGTAACCATGCATGCTTTGTGCAAAGTTTGACTGATCCTCAAACCAGCAGAAGTTGCACATGTCTGGTTTATAATGCAAGATGGTTGAATATTTTCTAGACCTCTTGACCCTTTGTTTATGACATCCATATGGGCTACAGCTGAGTCCAGGCACTGATAGATTGATCTGGAAAAGAACCCTAATTGATTTAGATTGAACTCCAAATGAATCTTAATATCAACTGGGAAGTCTGAACCTTCAATGGCAATAATTGAAAATCAATAAAGAGATGTCACTGTTTTCTGTTTGACATAATTAAATATATTTGCAAACATGATAGACATAAATAGGATTTAGATCAATGGATGAAGGGTTGTTTTTGTTTTTTTTAATTACCTAGAGGTAATGTCAGGTTTTGAGGTCGTCTCAAATAAATTGCATTTCAGACAAAGTCTTTGATGAAATACTCCCATTTATTAAGCACGACATTCTAACTCCGGCTCCATCGTAGCCAACACTGACTTCCTGACCCAAAACCATCCCTTTCCTTTCCCCACTCCTCTGCACTCATTAGCCATCTTCCAAGTCACTCTACCCCTAATCTTCTGCTCCAGCTCAAAGGAATTTCCCCCCTCCCATCCCATCTCCTAGGGGATATTATCTCCAGGGAAAATAAGTAGGTGAAAAGTCAAACATCCCTTTCCAGACGCCTCCGCTTCTCCTTCTTATGTCAGCTCTAGAGTAAATGCAGCTTGAAGTGCTGACAGATAATTAAATTTAATCTATTTATTTATTCTATTTATTTAAGAATACCATTTTTTTTTAAAAAAATGGTAGAATTGGACAAACTATGGGATCCTTGGTGCTCTCTGAGCTTGGTTGTTTTCTTGCAAATGTTTCATTACTGAGCTAGGTAAACATAATCAGTACTAGTGGTCTAGCATTGATGATGTTACCTAGTTTGGCAATGAAATGCCTGAAAGAAAATAACCAAGCTCAGAGAGCACCAAGGATCCCACATTTCAACCATGAGGTACAAATAATCTTTTCTATTGGACAAACCATGAAAGCAAAACTAATCTTTCCAGGGAATAGATTAGTGGAGACGATGTAGCCATGTCAAGAGAGTAATAACTATAGGCAAAATAGTATCTAAATGGTACAGGTAGTTGAATGTGTTAAGTTCCTCTTGAAGAATTAGGCTCTATTTGTGACTGTAAAATGTCTTGGGACAACAGCAACAAAAAGGCAAAATTTAATGAAATGTCTCCATCAAGCTAGAG